GGTTCCAAACAGGAAGTTTGGATCTACTTTCCCCAAGAGGTCGTTTGAGCTTCACACCGAGCAAAGGTTTCATCTGCACCGCAGCCCGTTCAAGTACCGCAGGAAATCTGAGTGGCAGTCAGCTTCTCCGTTCACCTAGGAACAACCGCAGTCTGAGTAAACCCCGTCCGCCCAACACCAAACAATACAATCACTGGAATCTTCCCACACAGACTGGATTCCATAAAGGACACCTTTTCCTGGAGAAGTGAGTCTGCAACCTATTCCTCCAAGAATCTAATTTCCCACTGAGCCTGAACTAACCGCAGTGTCTTCCCCTCACCTTCCAGTTCTGGATTGACAGTGTTCTGAGCAGCACTGGATTCATCACCATATTCTAATAAACCTGTTAAACTTTTCCGTGGTCTTTCTGTTTGGTCTTCTGTATTTTTGGGGTCAGACTTTTAATTAAATCATGGAAAACGGAATCGTTCCTTATTCAGCAATAAAAGTACCTGTTCCGTATTTGGTGGAAAAGGAACGCACTTTGTCCCGTGTTACTGAGAGTAAAAAAATGGTCAGTAAAAAGCTAATGAAAAATGAAGAACGAGGGCACGTTGGATACAAAACTTACGGTAAACTTGTTCCCCTCCCTGTCCTGCATTGTGACCAATGAGCTGACGGCATATATGTAACGATCCAGAATCCCCTCATCCCATTGGTCGAGCCAGAGCATCATGGGGGACGAACGGAGGAATTTAAATGCTGACGCTGCTTTTAGGGGCGGACAAAAAAAATTCAAGTGGAAAAAGTCGGCTATCGCCACATTATGTAGCGTTAAGCTAATGATTTATATTTCTGTTTTCCAACTGTAGCCTACAGTCATTTCATTTAAGCACAAATATGTTTACAAGTTTGCTGTTGCACCGAAAATGTGCACTATTTATTTATTTATTTTATATTAATCTATACAGTTATAAGTTAAGCAGGACAGGCTGATGTTTAAGATGCTTATTTTATTCAGCAAAGTTTGTGATTTAGTATTAAAGGGTTCATATAATGATTCTATTGGGTATCTGGCGCCAGTGAATCAGTGGGCTGGTCTGTATGTCATTTTCGTTATTTACATTTATATACATGTTTAAGCCAAAATGATTTGACATTTAAATATCATTTCCCTGCGACTTTAAAGCTTTACCAGCAGTGGTTGTTTCAGACCTTTGGTGAGGTCGATTTATTTGGTAAATGAGATTAATAATCAGCTGATCTCCAATAATTAAGGAAATTTGGGTCGATCAATCGATCAGTGCAACTATTTAGAAGCATTTCCTTCCATACATTGTTCTCCAGAAATATAAGAAAATGCCCTCATTTCTTCTAAGAAAAAAGCTTTTAAAAAAAAATGTAAAAAAAGTTTCTTCTTTGTGGTATATAAAATTATTCAAAATTGTGTCTTTTTCTCCGGGATTTCATACATTTATGCCTCTTAGTAAGTTATATTTAGCTAAAACTCTCAACAAATATCAACACCCCATTAAAGGAAGTTTTTTTTTCTTCTGTCTGAATTTGTTTATTTAAACCAAGAAAATAAAGAGAACAAATTTTCTTGCGTCGATATTGATAAAAAATTTGTTTTTTACCCAGAAACAATGAAATTTGAGTCCTGGCCTGATGGGAGAGTGGCTCCTGTTAAGGTTTCAGACCCCCCCCCTGTGAGGGCCAGCGGGCCACCGAGCCACCGAGCCAAACATGGCTCCAGGTTTTAGTTCAGGGTTCCACTTTCTGACCGACTCTCTGGGATCTAAAACTTCTCTTCCAAACCTGAACAGGTTGAAAACTCTTCGTTTGGATTTAGATGTGTTATTCTTTGTTGTTTGCTGCCACCTAGTGTTGATCAGAAAAACAGCAGGAACTGACTGACAGCCAGTCAGAATTACTGTTTTTTTTCTTTTTTCACTAAATCAGAGCAGATATTCAATGAAAATGCTTCAAACCTTCAGTATTTGTTAATGTATCTATATTTAAAAACATTTCCTGATTTGAGCTGAAAAAGTTTATTTTAGGCAACTGGACGTGAAGTTTTCTAGAAAAGGTTTCTCCTCTCATCCAAGAGGCTTTTCCAGTTTTAACTAGAGGCAGGGATCACTGAGATTAATATACTTTAGGAGTCTTTAATCCCTCCTACTGGATTGGACAAGCAGGTCTATCAGTGGACAGAAACATTAAGTTCACCTGGGAAGATTGTTTTTTGTTTATTTCTATAGCTCCAATTCACATCATGTCATCTCAAGGCTCTTTCCAGTTCACCAGATCATCCAGTCAGATTGATTCAAAGATTTATATTGAAGGAAAACCAGCTGATTGCATCGACTCATTGAGTCAATGGCAATCCTTCACACTGCTTATCCTCCCGCAGCAGTTTGTCGCAGGTATGACGCAGATATTTTAAATTCATGCCCGATATTAAAGCGTGGTCTGTGCCATGGTGTTCCACGCCACAACGCTAGAGGGCCAATCTGGAACTAGCTGTGGGTCTAGATACGGCCGAGGCGGTGAGGAAGTGGAGGCAAGTTTATGCGACAACGGAGGGACATGAGGGTGAAAAAGAGCGCTCTTCTAGCTGCTCCATCTTNCAAGAAAATAAAGAGAACAAATTTTCTTGCGTCGATATTGATAAAAAATTTGTTTTTTACCCAGAAACAATGAAATTTGAGTCCTGGCCTGATGGGAGAGTGGCTCCTGTTAAGGTTTCAGACCCCCCCCCTGTGAGGGCCAGCGGGCCACCGAGCCACCGAGCCAAACATGGCTCCAGGTTTTAGTTCAGGGTTCCACTTTCTGACCGACTCTCTGGGATCTAAAACTTCTCTTCCAAACCTGAACAGGTTGAAAACTCTTCGTTTGGATTTAGATGTGTTATTCTTTGTTGTTTGCTGCCACCTAGTGTTGATCAGAAAAACAGCAGGAACTGACTGACAGCCAGTCAGAATTACTGTTTTTTTTCTTTTTTCACTAAATCAGAGCAGATATTCAATGAAAATGCTTCAAACCTTCAGTATTTGTTAATGTATCTATATTTAAAAACATTTCCTGATTTGAGCTGAAAAAGTTTATTTTAGGCAACTGGACGTGAAGTTTTCTAGAAAAGGTTTCTCCTCTCATCCAAGAGGCTTTTCCAGTTTTAACTAGAGGCAGGGATCACTGAGATTAATATACTTTAGGAGTCTTTAATCCCTCCTACTGGATTGGACAAGCAGGTCTATCAGTGGACAGAAACATTAAGTTCACCTGGGAAGATTGTTTTTTGTTTATTTCTATAGCTCCAATTCACATCATGTCATCTCAAGGCTCTTTCCAGTTCACCAGATCATCCAGTCAGATTGATTCAAAGATTTATATTGAAGGAAAACCAGCTGATTGCATCGACTCATTGAGTCAATGGCAATCCTTCACACTGCTTATCCTCCCGCAGCAGTTTGTCGCAGGTATGACGCAGATATTTTAAATTCATGCCCGATATTAAAGCGTGGTCTGTGCCATGGTGTTCCACGCCACAACGCTAGAGGGCCAATCTGGAACTAGCTGTGGGTCTAGATACGGCCGAGGCGGTGAGGAAGTGGAGGCAAGTTTATGCGACAACGGAGGGACATGAGGGTGAAAAAGAGCGCTCTTCTAGCTGCTCCATCTTCACCAGTCGTATTCCACAATGGCGGTCATACAAACAAAACAAGCCGGTAAGGAACCAGACAGGAAGTACGCATAGAGAAGCAGATGTAGATTTGACCAATCAGAGGCCTCCTCTCTGTGGCACTGTCTGCGGTCACCTACAATTTTGGAGGGGTGCAGCAGAGTGACTGCGGAACTCTTAGAACCGTCAAAATGAAGGCCTTGGGAGTTCTAGTGTTAAAAACCAAGGAACAAGTACAATGGACGACTACGACGAAAGGTTGATCGAGGAGGTTCGTAAGTACAACCACTTGAACGACGCCTCAGACCAATTATATAAAGATGCCATGGTCTCTGCCAAAATGACGTTCTCGTGACCGTCCGCCGAAGTTCTCGCGAGTTCTTGAATAGGCTCCTCCAGACCCAAGCGACATTTGATGTGTGTGGCTGCAGAAGTATAATCTGTGCTTTAGTCCTCGACGCAGGCGACCCAGGGTCGATTACGGCCTCTGGTCCTTTCCTTTATGTCTCTCCCCCTCTCTCATACTACCTTCCTCTCAGCCTACTGTGCAATAAAAACGAGCCACTAATGCCGTAAAAACTCAAAAGAAAATGCAGACGCCTCCCTACTCAAGACCAGGGTGAAGGGAGGGTCATGAGAGATAAGAATGAGTTCACAGAGCCTCCTTCATGCCATGGACAGCACACCTGTTCTCAGTGTTTATCTGGCTAAAATGTATGTCCTCGATGAACTGAAGTGTTTTTTCTTGGGAATGACCAAATGTTCGTGTGGGAGAAAGTTCTTTATGTAGGGATGGGATAGTTCCAAGGAAGAGTGTCTGCATTGGGAGTTGTTGAATAAAAAGATGTACTGAGCTTTGCCCAGTCAGAGCTCTATCACAGAGCCTCTGCTTCCTCCTCAAGTCCACACATTCCTGGACTGCGTGGTTCAGATCATGGAAGATGGACAACTCAACATAGAAATCAACAGGAAACCCAAACAGACACCGACCAGTACCTCCATTTTGACACACCATCCACTGGAATACAAACTAGGCATCATCAGAACCCCCCAGACACGATTAGAAAGCACTTCCACCACCGAGTGGAAGAGAACAGGGACACATTAGGACAGCCATGAAGAAACGGTGGTTATCCCTGATGAGCCTTTTCTAAAAACCAACAAGAAGAGGTCTGCTGAGAGGGAAGAGAACAGAAGGAGGAACAATCGTCACTCCGGATGTTGCCGACGTCTCTGAAAAAGTCAGGAGGATTTTAAACTAGCACCAGATCCCTGTCAATTCAAACCTTGCAACACCCTGAGACAAAAACCGGTTCAACCCAAAGACAAGACACCCAGAAACCAGACTGACGATATGGTTTACACCGTTCAGTATAGTGAAGAGGGCACAGACCTGTACTTCGGAGAGATCAAGCAACCGCTACCCGGGCGCATGGCTCGACACAGGAAGACCAACTCCTCAGGACAAGACTCGGCTGTTCACCTACTGAAGGCTAAAGGACGCTCGTTTTTCAGACAACAACGTCCATAATCTGGCCAAGACAGACTGTTTGAGAGAGGGGTTAACGAAGCCATCTTTGTTAACCTGGAACAACCATCTCTCAACAGAGGAGGTGGTCTAAGACAGAACCTTTCACCTACTAACAGAAGATTCTAATTTCTAAAACTCAATTATGTCATTTAGAAACGTATCAACAGACGTCATCAAGAGAAAATAGGAAGAATAATTAGGGACAGTCGTTTCAGGGGAGGCGTGGCTTAGAGCTCTTAAGTGTGTTTCTACATTTTAAGTTAATTTAGACGTTAATAAACTGTTTCAGAATAGTGATCAGAGCGCTCTGCATCAGCAGCTGCTGCTTGGGAAACTTTGAATATCTGAGCAAAGCTTCCAGAGGGGAAACAGGGCGTACGATTTGTCATTTTTTAGTAAAGGGTGTATGAATTATGGCCGTACGCGTTGCTAGCTAAAAGCCTGATCATCATCATCATCTTCATCAGAGAACAGGAGGTTGAATATAGATGTAAATCACATTGCTTAGATCAATCGTTTCAATTAAAAACACTCTAATTGGTGTTTTTCTGGACCCTAAAATCAAACGAATCCCTTGATTTTGGTTCTGTGATCCTAAAACCAAACGGCTGACGAATCTCTGCTCACCTCCGACATTCGGTCCAAAGTCCATGGAGGCCTCCTCTCCCTGAACTGGAGGTCCAGAACCTGACCTCTGACCCCCCCCCAGGCTCAGGTGGCTCTCCCACCCGGATCGGATCACCTCCTTGTCCGCGGCGCTCCACAGGAGAGAGTCGGGATGTTTCTGCCGGATGTGTCTCTTGATGGTGCTGAGCTTCAGGGTGGCCAGCGAGCTGCCGCACACCATGCAGATCATGCTGTGCCTCTCGGGGTCGAAGTCCATCAGGTATTCGCTGCGCCAGTACTCGTGGTAGTAGCGGCGGTGATCGCGGCCGGGAATCCTGCTGAGGCCCCACCGTGACGCTCTCTGGACCCGGGGTTTGCGTCCAGAAGGCCCGGGGGCCAGGGAGAGGAGCGGCGGCTGGTTGGGGCCCTCGGTGATGCTCCAGTAGCTGGTGGCGGTTGATCTGACCGGTGTGACCGTCCCCGCCTCAGAGTCATCTCCACCGTGGCCATTGGCGAGATTATCCCCTGCAGAACCAGAATCCAGGTTACTGGCTAAGACTGAAGCACAGACGAGGAACCGGACCTTTCAATCGCTCACAAAATATCAACGTTAGTTTAAATATCTGCAACTTTAGAGGAAATAAAACAAGAAGCAGCAGCGAAACCAGC